TTCAATTTTTACGACATTATGCAAGTGATTATAAGTGCAGCTTGCGGTGATTGAAACTTCTAAATTGGGAACGACGTCAACAAAAAAAAATTTCGATTACACTCACGATCTCGGTACTAATAAGTACTTGCACGAGTTTTTTGTTGCAGACAATACAAATAATTACTACGACGTTAATTCTAATAGTTGTCTGCAAGCTACATTCAGAAATCCTCTTCAATGCATTATATAATCAACAAAACATTTAATTACGTTTTGTACGTTGCAATAAGATTAGTTTTTGTAGTAGTTACGAGGAATTAATTACAGCCGTAATTGATTTTCTCGTTGCCTTAAGTTTAATCAGACTTTCGGGGCTGTTTTATAAGAGTTCGTTGTAGTTCAATTTAAAATGCTTAAAACTAAGAGTCCTTGATTGATTACCGCTTAAGTGAAAATTTCCATTAACCCTTCTCGGGATTAGCGTAAATTTACGAGTTTTTAATGCGTGCGCGTAGAACAATGAGGTAAGGGAAAGAATGACGCGGAACACTTTTTTGTCCACAATCGTATTTGCATGTCGGTCGTGTTTCTAACAAATAAACAATTCATAGTACGTGTGTCTAATTAGCGTAGACCTGATGTCTTATTCTGTGCGTGACGCGCGTTTGTTGCATGACCAAGCGCCCTTATAAGCGGTGTGTATAGCGTAGGTAGATATTTTACTACAGGAACTTTATTGACACTCTGCTGGGAATCTAGTAATTGGTGTAATAAAGTACCTACTTAAACTTTTTACTGGATATCGAGTGGCAAATTGCTCGGAATTTTCCAATTAAAATTCAGCGACCACCATCGATTAGTGCAAATCTTTTGGCGTAGTCTGTTTGTCTCGGGTATAGGTACACGTCAATGGAGAAACGTAAATCCAGACCCTAGAAATATATAGTTTGAACGGCTTTTGATACATCATGTATGATTTTTCTCTTTGCTTCTTCAAGAATAGTTCAATGAGGTTCCATTAAAGAACACAGAAAATTGTATTTCAGTTCAGTTTTCATTCAAAGTCTCATCTTATCATTTTTGGCTGCTTTTTATCCCGTTACAACTCTTTCTCACAATTCAGTGTAGTACCATTAAGAGAAATAGTTATTTGTTTCATTAGTACAAAAAATGTCAGTTTTCGGGACGAGGAAGATAGTTGCTGGACGACGCGTTAGCGGAGTCCAGCAACCTTCCGAGTCCCGAAAACGCATTTTTTTGTACGAATAAAACATAAAATTTTTTCTCCAACCCCCTTTACTTCAAATTATATTCGAATTTAGATTCAGTCACAGTTTCACTACTAGTATAAGAACTTCTGCTTTCTTGTCCTCAAGTGTCATGCCACTCTAGTTTTTAGGTTAACTTATAACCTATTCGTTCTTACTTCTCACCTCTCGCGACTTTGTAGGGAGCAAATCTTGAGGTAGCATGTTCTGCCGTTTCTATAATCTCTGGCGGAGTGCAATCCATGTCGCTATCAGTTTCAGTCATTTTATTGTATACACAATTAATATTGTTATATTTTGTATTGAAATAAAAAACTTACCGTACAATTTTTTAATTAAAATTAATTGCAATTAACTTTTTCAAATTTTGAATTCAAAATGACAGATAATAGTGCAAGGGGTCTGAAATAGATGGCGTTACGCGCGACGGCGGGTTGTATAGGTACGTATTAAAATTACGTTCATCGAATATGTAAATTACGTTACACATGGTTTAAATAAAAATAGCGAGCGTAAATCATTTTCAATACATGTACATACGTATAGGTAACAGCATTATTTGCATTGAATATGCAAAAATATTTGATTTGTATGTATAGAAATATCTTACAACCTGCAATGTAAAACGATGTCAATGTGACATATCTCCGTGATTGTAATTTTTTAATTGGCCAACTTTCAAGGTCAATTTCTTTTTGGTACTAGGACCAAAAGTATCTACTTTTTGTACAGTTGCCATGGTGAAAGCGATTAATCCGCAAAACGTCAATTTTACGTACCGAACACTGTCACAAAATAGCGTCTTATTCAGGTGGTTGGAGAAAAAAAAATTTTTTAATATACCTACACCGTTTATACAAGCAATCCGTGGTCGAATCAAAATTTTGCTGTTTGTTAGTCAACGTAAATTGAATTATTGATTCTCATTAAGTATAAATTACGGTTTAATATCAGATTGTCGAGTGTCAGACTTTAGCATTGCTTACGCAATATTTTATGTGCCGCGCTATTCACTACCCCTCTTGTTGGTTTGTGTTGTTGTCTGTTACAGAAAAGGCAGAACCCGCCCATATGAGCTCACAAGGTTGCGACCCGAAGTTAAAAGGTATTTTTTTTTAATTTTCGACGACTCTTTGATATAACGTTTGATTACATACTGGTTTTCGATACCATCAAATTGTAATTACTACCTTTGTTTGATATTCATTTAACAATTATGGCTCCGTTGTTTTCTGCAGAAGCTCGTTTTGATATTAATACTAGAAGGAATTTTTTTCGGAGAATTCGATCTTCCGTTTCAAGAACCTTTCTTGCTATTACTGTGACTACCAAATTGTGCGTCTTTCCTTTCTCTAAAATCACAATTTTCATTTGTAGATCCTACTGGTACAAAAAAAATATAAAAATATATTATACAGAACACTGAAAGTAAAAGTGGCACAAAATATTTAACGGACTTTTAAATTCGTTAATAATAAATCGCTCAAACGACCATCAAAAGTAATAATCTGCATTTAATAGTACAAGAAGGCCGTGTGACGTGCGTATTGTGAACACTCTGTCTGTCTGTCTTAGTGGCCTGAAATTTGGGTTTCTTTACAAATAGGTTGTTTACAAAAATATCTCCCAGACATGTAGACGGTTAGACAACACATCTCACAGCGGGACCAATATAGCGTTCCTTAACTTGACGAATATAATGTGTATTTCCCGATGTAAATTTATTCCATGGAGTAAAAAAAATGTAAGTTGTAAGTGTAAATGTAAGTTTGGATTCTACGTCTGTATCTGTTTCTTTTTCATCTCGTTCCGGCTGCGGGACGGTGCTTACCAAACGGTGTTTAAATATATAGGTGGGAGGGGAGGTGGCTCTCATTAAATTAACTTTTAATTCTGTTTAGGATGTGTGTTTGTATCTGTGATAATCCAGTTTTACTTAAATACTTGCTAGTGCCTTTGCCCTATGCCCATTTAATGTTCTGTAGACCTTTGATTTTATTTATCTGTTTACTTGCATTTTTTCGAATTATTCACTGTACAATTTGAGATTTGAGCTTGATTTTGTATTTCTCTTTTTGCATTTTGTTGCAGTAGTTGATTTGTTTGCCAGTTTTTTTCTTACTGGTTCTTTTTTGCCTGACATCTGATCTTGGTTTACTCCTCATCGCGCGTCATAAATTTCATTCTTCTTATCTCTTCGGACTCGCACAAAAGTAGTAGTTTTCCTCAATTCTCTTTTCGATGGTGTCTCATGACCCAAGACATAAAAGAACAAACCGTAGAATAGCACAACGTAGGATCGCTACCTACTCTACCCCTATACAGGGTAAGTCAAAACTGCAGTGCCGGATAGGAGACTCCTACGATGATTCATACATACCTGAACTAATAAGTACCATAGGTATATGAAAATATTTAAATATACAACATACAAAAATTAAAAAATATCAAAAAATACGAAGAAATTTGAGGATTCCAAAAAGTTCTGAAATATTCGAGCAGATTATGAAATGACGTTCCATTGCATCGAAATCACTCACAGAAATATCGAAATAGGAATCAGTAACTTTACTAAATTTTAAAAAAATTCAGAAAAATTAAAAGTGGAATCCCAAAAATTACATTTCGAGAATTCAATCACTGCTCCTCGTTCTCGCACTGTACGATTCAACAGGAGTTAAAAATTTAAATCGGCACCTATGATAGCAATCCACCTGTTGCGCTTCCAATGTTGCCATATCGTTTTGTAGCGGTATCTCCTTCAATCATCCTATTGTCTCTTCGATTTTTTAAATTTTCCCAAGTTATCTGATTTCAGAATTTCCGAAAAACCTTTTGGAATTTTCAAAATTTTTTTATTTCATGTATTTGGTTTCACTTTTCTGAACTTAATAATTATGAATATATTAGGTTTCACACAAAATAATGTGATTCTTTTAGATTTATTTCTCCATTTTATGAAATTTTGTCAAGTTTCGATATTTTCTGAAATTTCCTTTACACTTCCGAATATTTCTGAAACTTTTTTTTGTGTAGATTTAATTTTTGAAGTATTTCCCTCGGTTTGAAATTACTCGTGTACGACTGTGCATAAGTGCACCCATTTTGATTTTATTAAAAAAAAAGAAAACCGTCGATTTCATTGGAAATTTATTCTCCTAACTATGACAGTTACGACAGAAAATTGAAGTTTTTGAAATTTTTTTAACCATATACACAAAATAATAGAAATATTATTGATTTTTATATTTTAATCAAGTAGGTGTAGATTATTAAAAATCAATTTTGCAATTAATTATCGTAGTTAAATAAAGGATTGAAAAAGCTATAGTTGGCTCAATATTGAATTGTTAGATGGGTTTCAGAAATTTCCATATTTGAACATATTCAAATTATTAAAATTACCATTTTTTTTTAATATTTGGAATTCTTGATTCAAAATGCCGGATTACAAACTATTAGAAATGTTTCAGGGGTCTACAAGCTTCGAGAAATGTCGAAAAAAATTTTTTTTAATCTAAAAAACAAAAATGCCTCAAAAATCGTTTAAAAGTATTTAAAAGTTTGAAAACGTTTTAGATATGCAGAGGAAATTGTTTTCCAAACTGTTATGTAAATATTAGAAATGATTAGAATATTTTGGAAATATGTAGGAAATTTTGACAATCAGCCTTATGCTGTAAGTACATTGACTTTCATGTCAACATTGGCATGATTTCAATAAAATTGACTTTCTATTTCAATCTTGAAAAAAATCGGTATGCTGTATGTCTACTTGACTTGAAGTTATTGAAATTTATAAAGATTGAAATTTAAGTCAAGCGTTTATTTGGCAACATCGCATTTTCTCTGCAACTTCTAACTTCATTATACATTTAACCTAACCTTATTGACGTTATTTTAATTTATTTAACCCTACATTTCTTTACATCGATTGCGCGAAAATTGGTGATCGGTTTTTTGCTGCTCGCATTAGAATTAAACAGAAGTAAGTATATGTATTAACATAATTCAATAAATAAATGCTGATGAAATGCAGTAATATAGCATGTGTGTTTTGTAGATGCCCCCCAAAAAGGCTACACAAGAGCAATACCAGCTTCTAGTGGAGCAGGTTGGAGAATCTAGTTGTTTGAAGTGGGGAAAGGGTACTCTTGATCAAAAAAAGGAAGAGTGGAGCAGGATTGGTGCAGTTCTTAATTCTGTAGGAGGAGTGGAGAAAACTCCTGAAGGTTGGAAAAAGGTACTGGAATACAAATACTATGATGATTTATTCACTAATTTTTTTATTTATACAGGCATTCGTGGAGATGAAATCGCACATAAAATCAAAAATTAGGAATGGTAAGGATTTAAATGCCATTGAAAAGAAATGTGCCGAAATTGCTGGATTGAATGTGTTATGCAGCGGCATGAGCTCTGTTGAAGAGTTGGGAGTGGAGCCGCAGGGTAAGTTTTTAAATAATAAATAAAATGGACCTTCACAAGGTAAACCTGAGTAACATAAATATAATATACATAAGTGGCATCGTATAAGCCTCAGATATACATTTTTTTCTTGAAGTGTGGTTTCATATGATACAAAGGACTGTTATCAAACAAGTAAATTAGTTTAATTATAGGAAAATCAGAGGAACCCCTTCAAGATGAAGTTGCTGAGGAGACTGTGGAGGAGAATGTAAAGGAAAATAATGCTGTAAATGTAAATGACGAAGACGCCGATAGAGAAACAGGCTCACATGATGTTCCCGTTACTTCAAAATCAAAATCCAAACCAAAATCAACATATTGTAAGTATCATCCAGCATACATAACTTTATAAAGAAGAGCTTTATATAGTAAACTTTTTATTTTCAGTATTATTAAATGATCATCTGTCCTCGACAAATGAAGGGCTACGTGAAATAGCAACAGCTATACACTCGGTGGCAGATGCACTGAATAATATTGCTGTTGCTATTTCAATTAGACAGCAATAGTTTCAAAATAGGCTTAATTTTGTAAATATGTTTTGAGGTTCAGTTGTGTGATATTTAATATAAATTTGTTCACACCACTGAAACTAGTTTCAAGTTATAACATACCATAATCATTGGCTATAAATTATTAAATACTCTACCAATTATGTTTATGAGAATGTTATTTCAGTTTTTTTACGTTTTATGTGTTGAATTATGTTTATAATATAATGGTTACAAAATGAAGTCTGATGTTTTTACAGCAATTAAAAAAAAGACCTTATCTGAACAATATGAAATGTACATTCATTTTAAAAAATGCAAACATCATAATGAAGAAGCGTTTGAGACTCTATGTTCGGAACTCAATACAATAAGAAATGGCCCGAAACGGTCGACCTTAAATTGGAAAAAGGTACATAAGCATCATCTTTTTTTTGAAACTTTTCCAAGTTTGGTAGATTTTCAGCGAATGGGAATCGAAGGTGAAGGCCAAAGCAAGGCGTATTTACATGGAGCGTGAGATCACGGGAGGTGGGGTTCCAATTATTGAAATTTTAAATGATTTGGATAGAAGATTGTTGGAAGTTTTAAGTAAAGTATTAATATACGGCCACCCTAAAGTTATAGAACTTGGGTTTTTAAAATGCAAAAAATTGAAAAGGGCTCCACCAACTATTGTTGCGAGAAAGCTCTACAAGCGTAAAAGACATTTAAGTATGACTTCATTAATTTTTATAAAATGACTTTATTTTTTTTAGAGGTACCAATGGATTTGCGTAACCTTATTAAAGACAATTCAAAAAAGCTAGTTAATAGTTTATTACTTATAAAAAACAGTCTCCAAGCGCTGGATGATGCTATTGTAAATTTTATAAAAATACAAGAATAAAACTTAACTTTTTTTTACAAACAGTAATTTTCTACTACTCTATTTCTTACAATACGGCCTTGGTGTAAAACGTTTCTTTCAGGAAGATCTAATTCTTCATCCGCATTTTGATTGTTATTGTTTACTTCATTGTTATTTTCTTCTTCATGACAATTATCTAAGAACATTTTTAACAAATAACTATACAATACACTTATGCAGTTACAACATACCATTTATGTCACCTAAATATTCATTCCTGTCAATACACAAATTGTGCATGATAGCAGCAGCATAAATAATCTGTGCTGCTCTCTCAGGAGCATAATGCAAGGTTCGATGTTTGAGAAGGCATCTAAATCTTTGTTTTAATAGACCATTTGTTCTTTCTATGATATTTCGGATTGTTTTATGTCGGCGATTGTATTCTCTTTCACTATTAGTAACTGGATTAGCTATTGGTGTTAACAGCCAAGGCTCTAAGGGGTACCCTGCGTCTCCTATAATGTATGTAACTGGTGAAGTAAACAACAACATTAAAATGTGCATACCTAACAGATATGTCATTTGACGACCATTTCCTCTAAAGTTGTTCACTAAGTGCCTTCTGACCAATGATGTCTGCCAAATGGCAGAATCGTGCACAGATCCCGGAAATCTTGCGTTTATGTTTAAAATTTTTAACTTTGTATTACAAATCTGCAAAAAATTCAGTAGATAGTACATTGGTTGCTAAGAAACTATTTATTTTGCTTACATTTGAACATTTAAGCTATAGTATTGTTTTCGACAGTAAAATACAACACCGGGCATTTCTGGGTCTTCTGTTTTTGGGGCTATGATAGCAACTTGTGTACAGTCAATACATCCAATTATTCCTGGAAATCCACCACTATCTACAAAACTGAAACAAGTTATGGTACATAGATATTTAATTATGTAGAAGGTATATCTTGTTTCAAAGCAAATAAATAAGTACCTATAGATTAGCAATTGCAACACTAAAAGCGGTCATCATGATTGCAATGGTTTCATGTTTTCAAATTGTTCTATATGGCAATCTCAAATGCAGCTGGTTGTATACATGTTACTAATCTTGTACTTCAATTAATTAATTCCCAACTCACCGTTGTTTTTCCTGGTTTTTCTCCACTTCAGTTTCCGGGAACTTTATGAGGTGGCCTAATACTTGTACTAAAATGTCAGTTACTTCTGTAAGACATCTGCTTACTGAAGTTTGATGCATGCTTGTCAGGTAATCTTGACCTACCCCTCTTTGATATGATCCATGACTTAAAAAGTGTAATGCAGCAAAAAACTAAAGTTAAACAAAAACTAGCATTGCACTTGACAACACGTTACTTACCCTAAGACCTTTAGGGATGGCTGTTGTGCGTGCTGAATCCCTCATATGTGGAAGAATTTGATCAAGTACCCATTGAGCTAGCTGCCTTGATATGCGAAACAAACCAAAGTAATTTCAGGCAAAGTTAAAGGATCACTATGATCTCTCAATTGTCGACGTTGTAGATTCAATTGGCGTCTGTTAAAAGCATTATTTTCATGTTCTTTATTAGTTCAGTCTTGTGTCTTACCTGACAATTTCGTTTTCAAGTACGTCAATAATAAAAACTAGTTCCATTTTGATTACACAACCTCAGATGTCACAGTTCACTAACGAAAAGGATTAATTGATGTAAAAACCACGCAAGTTTAATTATATTTTGAGTTAATTTGGCTCAAACAAAACTCAACAGTTGCTATACTACACAAATTTCAGTTACGAAATATTCTTGACTTTATTTTAGTTCCTTAACGGGCAAAGTTTTTCAAGACTATATAATTATTGACTTTTTTCAATGTTGAGATAGGAATACTTCAAGGATTTGTCTTAGAGCATACGAACTATATGTCAATTGACCTGATTTCAATATATTGAAATAGGAAAATTTCAATAAATTGAGTACAGTGCTATTCTGCATACCAATCCGCCATATTTATTGAAATGTCTTTCATATGTCAATCTTATGACGTCATTTCAAGCTTGACTTAATGTCAATGTACTTACTGCATAGGGCTGAATGTGTCAAAAATGTGGAAAAGTATTGTTACGAAACATAAGATGCAGATGCATTGTTGCTGTGTGAAATGACATGCATTCATTACACCACTCACTTACCTAGCTGACTCAAAATTATCGAACCTAACCTTGTAACAAACCCTCATCTTATAAACTTTATTTTCAATAACTAAATACTGAGCGCGACTCGTGCACAGTGTTGCCACTTTAGTTTTCAATGTTTCCCTTCACAATAAAATTTCCCTTTTTCGCGACACTAAAAAATGGCGTGTCTACACCAGTGCTCGTACCACTGGCCGTGTTTTGGTGGTACGCGTACCACAGTTTGGGAACCGCTGCAGTTTAAACCACCAGCACTGGATCTATGCCGATTGACAATATTGAAATGGCAGCTCGGATACACACCTTAAAATTGACGAAACACCTCTTCTATAACTGTAATTAAATGCGTGAACACTAACTTTGGACACTAATCGGAGAACTATTACTGTATCATTTCTTCATTAATTGACAAACAAACTTCGTAACACCGGTTGACTACCGGAAAAATGCGTATTTGAATTTACACGCAACGGACTATCACGTATGCTAAGTCAAATGAACCGTAGCGCACATCGGCGCGCAAACCTTTTTCAGTCTTGACCGTCGCTATCCCTATCTACAAACTATGCATATGTGCTATCGCTTATCTAAATAAATTAAATTTTACTTTGATAAAGTCCCCTTATCAAACATCTGTCAAGTAATTCTCGACTGTAAAACTAAAACTTTCAAACATTTCATTTGCAATCGATGTGCATAGTAAGGTTGTTTTAAAGCATAATCGACGCACGTGTACAGTGCGCTAGAAATCGAATGATAAATTGTAGAATGGCAAATACCTACATACATTTGGTCCATCTGTCAGATCGGGCCACAGGCCATTTTGCTCAAGTGTTCACATATAGACGAGTAAGTTATGGCTTAGTAGAAAAAAGGCGTAAAATCCTTAAATGTAGATTTTACAGAAATGTGCATCGATTGGTGACCGTGTAAGTACCATTAAATACAAGCACATAACTTAATATAATAAAATAAATACTTCATGAAATAGTTACTAATTGAGGTTGAGTTGAAGTTTTACACATCCTTAGCATGAAACGTCGGAGAGTAAGTAGATGAGAAAAGGGAAAGCTTGATTAAAGCTCACACATGACGGCCAAATGGAAGTACATAGAATGGAATGGTAGATTATCAGCGGGAGCAGATGATATTATTAGTGCGCAAGCTGCGAACAATTTAGATAAATTCAGTGTCTACAACTCATACACCAAAACAGTTAAAGTTTAAGATAAGAGGACAACACTCCGCACAAATTCAAACAGTAAATGGCTTTAGATAGAGAAATTCCTGAAGCTTATCGGAATTCCAATTGAATCCAGTAGTTATTAAGACATCGTATTGTGGAACACGAGCTACTAATTAGATAACAAGTATAGAAAGTTTGCCGGAATAACTAAAGGAACCACCCTTATACTCTGTGTCTGTGGGGTTAAGATACGGAATGTAGTCTCAGGAAATGGGGGGATGGGGTTGGCGGCTTCCGTAGTGGACCGCCGCTTAACCGGACCCGCGTTCTGTGTTTACCGGAACTCGACAGCCGTAACAAGATTACGTTATAATAGCGGATAACCACTGGTCGGAGGCGTTTAACCGCAAGTTGCTGTCGCATCAACGATGTCACTTGTGGCTTTCCTTGTCCCTTGCTAATTGTTTACTAATAAATACTAAACGCTACTTACATTGTAATCGACCGCCATACCCTTCTTACACCTCTTTCTTCCAGCTGTGTTAAAGAATCACACGTGACCTCATTAAAACTTTGAATAGATCCAGACAAAATTTCAAATTACATTCAGCCTAAGGTATGGATTTGCACATACAAAACTGATACTCTATCGATTTACTAAATGTACTGGTGTTTTTTAAACAAAGGAATATACTTTCGTACTCGTGCCCTGAGCACGAAGAACTGCACGGACTTAAATACTAAAGTTCAGATGACAGAAAGACAGATGTTTAACCGAGACAACAAAAACCAACCCAAAATAAGATTGTAAGGGGGAGGGGGGTATAAATCTAAAACGTCCCAAAAACCATAGAATTCATTCATTCCAAAGAATCTAAAAACCACAGACCTTAGACCCCTTGAGGTTAACATGCACTTAAGATACAATATTAAATCGGGCGAAGAAGGCTCGTGAGCTTTCGGAAATCGTAAATGGTACAAACGCTTCACTGGGTTCCATCATTCTACTGGAAGCCACAGTAATCCTAGCCTCCCCGAGACTCAATGTATAGGTATACCTTAAGCAAAACAGTCTTGAAATGGATGAATTTATAACACTCGCAATACATGAGCGGGAGCTTAATACTTCACTTCGCATCGATGTTAGAGCTACCTGCAGCAAATTTCGATTTTGGTTATATAGCAAACGCCGGTCTTTCTCGAACTCTTCCCAATACTCTCGAATATTATAAGACAAACAAGTCATATTTCTCGGAAAGAATGCGTCACATCCGCCTTCGTTTCTTATCGCTCATGACTAATCTTTTATGGCGCCTCGATGGATATCAGGATTTCAGGAATATTCACTACAATGGTCTATAAAGTTTAGTGACTACAATTTCAGAAACTGTAGAAATCTTAGAACCCCAAGTAAGTTTTATCCACTCCAAAACCCTAAATGCCACGGACCTTGAGATTGAAACGAGACTTAAGATAAAATATTGAAGTGGGCGAAGAGTACATGCGTACACGTGCTTCGCCCCCGAAAATACTGGCACCCAAAGTAAAGTAGATGAAAAGAAGTACTTAATAGATTCCTGCAACTTGGGGGGGTTTTAATAAACCTTAGAAATTTTAGACCCGATAACATTACGACTTGCAATCGTGAAAAGCGAAAATAGACCCTAAACGCCCTGAGGTTCAAAATACATTCAAGATAAAATAAATTAAACAAATATAGCAAACGAACTCCTAGGTATGGCTATAGCTTGGCATCGCCTATTATATTGTTATCCCCAGTTTGAATTTCCTGCAATTCGGTTCATAACTAACGGAGAGAAGGCCTTCCCTATTAACCAATAGCCAACCGGCCCACATTGCCAATTCAGAAACTTCGATCTACAAATTTGATAAAGAATTCACCTGCAAAAGTTCATCGTAATCGTAGGAGCTCGTTAATAAGGAAGTCGGCAAAAAAAGTTAAGATACCCAATAACCAACTTTCAGAAATCTTAACAGAAAGAGAAACATTAGTGGTTTCCAAGTCCCACAGACGCTTTAGTCTCCCTGAATTTCAAACTACCAATACTGGGAGATTCACGTACCCTTTTACTAAAAGAAGTTTTTAAACTTGCATCTGAAATAACTTGAAAACTAGTTCACAGCCATAATAGAATTGAAAGAATTCAAGATAGCGTCCCTTCAGTACATCCCGGAAGTTGGCGCCATCTTAGTTTTTGTAAATATAATAGTGCCATCTTCTATCTTTTTCTAAATCCGCTATTTCATTCTGAAATCGACGCATTTAAAATTTGTGGACCAGCTATATCTGTCATAGTTTTAGACATGTCAATTTTATAAAATAAGATAAGAAAAACTGTCAGATAGGCACACATAATGTTAATAGTGGCCCCAACATTAAAATCTATAGTCATTTCTGGCATCAGAATCAGTAGTTGCAATTTGAAAAAACTGAATTTGGAAAAATCGCAGCAGCCCTAGAAACTTTTTCAAGACTTTCAGAAGTTACTCACAAACTCTTTTGACTTTAAGGATTCGATTGTAAAAAAGAGCACTCACTTATCGTGAATGGTTCAAGAGATATAAATGTTTGAATGGGCCCTTGTTTTTAGAGAAAAATTGACATATGTCAAAAACTATGAGAGATAGGTTGGCAAATCTTAAATGCGTCGAATACAGAATAAAATGGCGCATTTATAAAAAAAATAGAAAATATCTTTCAATTTAAAAATGAGTAATGCCCTACGAATCACCTGAACGCCGACGCCGCCACACTTTCTTCAACTTCAAAAATACCCCTAAAATGGCTACTAATCTGTTCTACCAATAAGATTCATTTCTTTTCTAGGAAACTAATTTGTCAGAATCGTCTACTGCTACAAGCCTCGGGATCAATTGTTCTCATTCCCTGAATATTGAATAGCGGATCTGAATCAGCTGGAAGATCACGTACATCCCATTACGTTTGTCTTATGTCGCGACAAGCTGGCGCTTCTAATCTTTCACACGTATTTAATTAGCCAGGGCCGTACTCGGAAACCATTCACCCAAAAATGAATTATTAAGGTTAAGTTGTAGAACAGATGTGTCACATGTTTCATGTTGAACATCCGAACTTCGCCCTTTTAGGTTTATGGCCACAATATAGATTTTTTTTCTTTCTTTTTTGTGTTATTCTTTTTTTTGTTGCTTTAGAAGTCCAAAAAATTGCACTTTATTATTATTAAATTTACATTTCTCTATTATTCACTATATTTTGCCCATAGTTGCCAACTGTAAGTATAGGGTAGGTCAAAATTGCAGTGCCGAATTGGGGACGCCGATTACAGGTGTCAGAGTACATCTTATGCAAGTGTTTTTAAAATAAAGGTCTGTCAGCACCATGTGAACATAGTATGCAAAGATGTATCACGTGTGATAACAATTTTTAACAGAGACATTTCTAGCACAGCACGAAAACAATATATGTGAGATAGTTGTAATTTATACCCTTCGTAACGTTTTTATGATTGTTCATCATTATTATTTAAAGTAAAGGTTGTACCAAGAATCATAATATGTGTATGGAATGTCATAAACGTTGTTTAAATAAAATACCATAAATTTGAATTTAATTTTAAACATTCTCTCTTAGGTTTTTATGATTGTGAATCGGCTACTTTCGTCCGCATTCACGATACACCACCATCATCCAATATCTTCGGCTTCAGAATTTTTTCCAACCATTCA